ATAGAATAGAATAGAATAGAATAGAATAGAATAGAATAGAATAGAAAGGACCTTAGAGGTCTTCTAGTCCAACCCCCTGCTGTTGGATTTTACAATTTTTATGGTTGTGGTTAAGTGAATTCAGCTCCCCTCGTGGGCATTTTTGGCTAGAATTCAGCAAAAACAGTCACAAACTGCGATCATGTGACCCGGGACGTTATAACCAATCATAAATGCGAGTCAGTAGCCGAACAACCACCTTGCAATCCTTTGACGTGAGTGTGATGCAGCAGTCAAAAGTGCGAGTACCGATGATAAGACACATTTCCCAAGGCCGTCGTAACGTTGAGCCATCGTTACACGAGCAGGCCACAAATCTAGGATTGCTGTGACCAAGGAAGGGGCCCCCATTTTCTAACGCTAGAGAAAATGCCAGGCAAAGACAAAGCCATGAGCAAAAATCAACACACATAGGAAATGGCCTTTATTCCACATTCTGCTGTTCATCCATGAATGGCATATTATCCCAACTGGAAATCTCTCTCCAAAGTTACAGACAGAAAAAGACCTTTCTCACCCTTTCGTTTCCTATTTAACTTTTTAAGCGCCGATCCCAGAGGTGAACTGGTTTTGTGCCAGGTCTTCCTCTGATCCAAATGGCAACCGGGAGCTGCCATTGTGGGCCACCTGTTAAAGTTCCCGACCCGTGAACACAATCGCTGGTCCATCTACAACTACAAACACAACTATAACCAAAAATAACCACCAAACCACAGCCACAGACAATTACTATCCCTTCAAATAATTCCACAAATGATATCTCTTTACTCATCAGAGACACCATGGAACGTGAACAGAAACATCTAAATGCCATCTTATTTGGTCTCGAAGACACCAACGAATCAGATGACATCACCAAAGTTCGTGATATCATAAGCAACTCTAATACAACAAACATCCCTCCTGAAGATATCATTGAAATAACCAGAGATGGCCATGGGTGCAAATACAGTGAAGGCTCTGTGGCCCTAAGATTTTGTAGAGTTGTGTGCAAAAATGAGTCCAGCAAACGCATATTCATTCATACAATAAATGCCATTGCAAAAACCAATCCCAACCACAAAAAACTTCGCTCGAGACCAGACTTATCCATACAGCAAAGAATCCACTCCCGTGAACTCCACGCAGAACTCAAAAACCATCTAGACAATGGAGAAAAGGATCTATACATTGACTACAGAGCTGATTGCATCAAAAGAAAGTCACACAACCCACAACTCCGCATCCAACCCCACCCCATCCAATCCAACATCACTCAAAACTACACATGCATGCCCCTAACTATCTCTATTCCAACCACAACTGGCCTTAAATGCAAGCTACTCAATGCAAGAAGCCTTGTAAATAAAATACCTGAATTTCTCCTCTTACTAAATATGGCTAAATTCGACATTATATGTGTCTGTGAAACATGGCTCAACGCATCTCTCCCTGACTCCATTACCACAGTAAGAGACTATCATGTTTACCGATCAGATCGTGAAATCCGTAGAGGAGATGGTGTTGCTATCTTCTATAAAAAGTCCCTACATCTAAAAAACATCCAAGTTACCCAGGAGCTTGCTATTCTTGAGACCATCATCTGTGAACTGTCCTTAAATATCACATTTCGGTTCTTACTATGTTACAGAGTCCCTGATTATGACATCGAAAATGCAAACAAGCTAAATACACTACTAACATGGGCAGCATCCTGCCCACACGCTTTTATCTTTCCTGGTGACTTCAGTCTACCTCATATTAACTAGACCCTTAACAAATGTACAACTGAATCCACACATGCAACCTTCTACAATGCAGTAACAAATCTGGGACTAGAACAACTAGTAACCAACAACACTAGACTTAACAACTGCCTCGATCTCATCTTCTACAATAGTTTGAATTCAATTTATGGAATACAAATTAAAGAACCCTTTTCCAACAGTGACCACAGCATGATTGACTTTTGTCTCAACATACATCCACACAAAAATCAACACAATGATGTCATCCCCAATTATAATTTCAAAAAAAGCAACTATGATCTTATAGACAAAGAGCTCTCATTCCTTGATTGGCAATTTCTATTCACTGGATGCAATCCTGTAGAAGACCATTATGACATATTTTTACTTGAAATCAAAAGAGTCATCAAACTATATGCACCATTAACAACTCCCAAAACCAGAAAAAACAAATTACCCAAAACAATAAGGAAGCTTCAATCCAAAAAGAAATCACTTTGGTGGAAAAACAAATCTGGTCACGTTGCCAACTTCAAAAGCCGATACAAAAATTTATGCCACCAGATAAAAACTGAATGCACCAATTATCACATGAAACAAGAGGAAAACCTTCTACACACCAATTCCACCTGAGCTTTCTACAATTTTATAAACAACAAACTAAAAGACTCAAGGTCCATCCCACCCCTGAAAGGACTTAATGGTAAAGACTGCAAAGACGACACTATCAATGCCAACCTCTTTAACACATTCTTTGGCTGAGTATTTGTAAACAGCAATGGATCATGCCCAGTATTTCCTAGTCGAACCACAAACAACTACAATGATCTAATACATATCGATTTTACAAAAGACAATGTTGAAAAAGCACTGCGCAATCTAAAATCATCTCTATCTATTGGACCAGACAGAATATGTGCCTACTTCTTAAAAAAGCTATCCACTGCCATAGCCAAACCTCTAAGAATAATCTTTGAAAAATCTTTCAAGACCAGCTCCTTGCTGGTCACAAGCCATGGTCATTCCCATCTTCAAAAAGGGAGACCCCAGCCTAGTTGAAAATTACAGACCAATCTCTTTATGCTGCGTCACCTGTAAAGTCATGGAATCAATTATTAACCAATCCATCATCCTCCACTTAGAAACAAATAACCTACTCTCTAATAAACAATTTGGTTTTAGGAAAAAGCTATCATGTAATCTGCAACTCTTACACCGCAAAAACATATGGACTACACAACTCGATCAGGGCAAAGCAATAGAGACAATCTACATAGACTTCTGTAAAGCCTTTGATTCAGTGGTACACGACAAACTACTCCTAAAACTAAAATCTTACGGCATCTCTGGACAACTGCCTAACTGGATAGAAGCATTGCTGTCAAACAGACAACAAATGGTCAAAACTGGGAGCGTCCTATCAAATTCTGTACCTGTCAACAGTGGTCTCCCCCAAGGCAGTGTTCTAGGACCAACTCTTTTCATACTTTACATAAATGACTTCTGTGATCATATCAAGAGCAACTGCATTCTCTTCGCTGATGATGTAAAGCTATTCAACACCACAGACAATACTGCTGCCCTTCAAAAAGACCTTGACTATGTATCAGAATGGACAATCAAATGGCAAATTCAAATCTCAACAAATAAATGCTCTGTCCTACATATTGGCAAAAAAAATATATCAGAAAATAAAATACAAGCTGAATAGTCAAGACCTTGTTGATGATCCAAACTCTCTCAAGGATCTTGGAGTACTCATCTCAAATGATCTAAGTGCTAGAGCCCACTGTAGCTACATAGCCAAAAAGGCGTTAAGAGTTGTTAACCTAATCTTACGTAGCTTTTTCTCTGGTAATA